TCCCCCTGTAACTTGCGGCTCATGTGAATTTCATGCGAAAAAAGGGAAAACCTGATGCTGGGGGAAGCACTGAACATTGTGTGATCCTTTTCGGGATGGCAACCCATCTCAAAGGTTGGGACCCGAATATCCACAATCTTCCAATTCGTCAAACGTTTACATCTTGTGGGAATTTCAAACCAGCTCCTTCCACCTCTGGTGAAACATAAGTCACAGAATCAACCCGCTCCACTCTTTGGCCCAATAGTATATCTGCCACACCCATACGCACTCAGTTCCCCTTGTGTTGCTGACAAGCTCGTCTCTCTTCCCATTGCCTTCACACGTCCAAATTTCATTGTATTGGCTTCTTCTTGGATTGTTGCAACCGTACTTGTTAAACTCGCATTTCCGAATGCAATGGTGGCGTTGTTCTGCATTCAGCTCCCTCCCCAACAACCTCCTGGCCACTGTCTCAAAATTATTTTCTGTTCTTTCACTTTTTTAATTCAAGGCTTTTAAAAAAGAACGCTAATTATTTCATTCTTTCCATGAGAGGCGGAGTTTGCATGTTCTTCCCTGAGTCTGCGTGGGTTTCCTCCGAGTGCTCAGGTTTCCTCCCGCAGTCCAAAGATGTGCAGGTCAGGGTGGATTGGCCATGCTAAATTGTACCATAGTGTCCAGGGATGTGCAGGTTGATTGGGTGAGCTATGGGAAATGTGGGGTTATGGGGGGTCTGGGTGGGATGCCCTCCAAAGTGTCAGTGCAGTCTCAATGGGCTGAATGGCCTCTATCTCCACTGTATGCATTCTGTGGTTTGAATGTTGCTAGCAAGCCCCTTCTCTTCTCGGTTTGATGTATCTGGATCCATTTGTACAGGTAATAGGAGCCAAAGTGTTTTACTACCATTGAAATATCTTTTAAGTTTGTAGGAAATGATGCAGCCCATTTGTGCACAGCAAGCTCACACGGTGTGAAAAATGACTAAGTTGTCCAACGTTTGGGTTTTGGGTGAATGTGCAAACTAAGAGCAGAAGTAAGTTCATTCACCCTCAAACAAATTCTTTCTCCTCTCACTTTAAAACGAAAACTATGCCCCCGAGTTTTGAACTGCCCCATCCTAGGGAAAAGACCTTTGCTATTCACCTTACTTATACCCCTCGTGATTTTATACACCTCTATAAGGTCAGCCCTCAGCCTCCTACACTCCGGGGTTGGGGGGCGAAAATTCCAACCTACCCTTGTAACTCAAAAATACCCTCTGGATCGAACCCATCTCTGAAATGGGATTTGAAAGTCGCAAGGCTGTGGGTTTCAAAAATGAGTGACTGATCACTGAATGCTTCCTGGTATACTCCATTGGTTTGTGGATGAGGAAAGGCTACTGATGTTTAGATCCCTTTTTTCCCCAGTTAATGCACAGTCAAATGCCAGCGAGGAAGATGGTCACTGTAATGTCCCAGGGAAGCCTTAGATTTCGGATCGTGGAAGAATAGATGGGAATTCTGTCCCCAGGACCACAGGCACCCTTCCCTACAGGTACTTGCGAGGTCATTATAAGGAACTGGTGTAGGCCATTCGGCCCCTTGAGCCTGCTGCAACATTCAATAAAATCATGGCTGACCTAACATTCCTCACGTCCACTTTCCTGCCCTCTTCCTGTAACCCTCTTTTCTTTTTTTTTTAACCCCAGTCGATCAAGAATTTATCTATCTCGGCCTTAAATATGCACTAGGACTCTGCACCGCCTCACAGCTCTCTGTGGCCAGGATTACGAACGTGAGCTGACACCCAGAAGCTACTTTTCCTGTAGAGTTATTTAAAATGAGATGCTGCCTGTCAAAATAGCACTGAGAGGAATTCAAAAGTGAAAGCAGCAACCAGCTTAAAAATAGTCAGCTGTGGAAATTAAGCTCCTCATCTTGTGATTGGCTGCTGTCCCTGTCCTGATGTAGAACTCTGCCTTTGGTTGTCACTTCCAGATGAAATTTCAAAGAGTGAAATTGGTGCTTTATTCCTTCCGTCCCTCTGTCCCCTCATTAAGATCCTCGGTGTTTCTTTGTCACTGACTTGTCTAGGAATTTTGTCATTTGCCTTGCTCTCTTTCATGATCCCTGTATCCCATCTAGAATCTGAATTTTCCTAGAAGGAAGATACAATAAAACTTATGAAGAACGTATACTAGTCTGACTGCGTCTTGTGTACTGGGTGGCACAATGGTTAGTACTGCTGCCTCATGGCCGCAGGGACCTGGGTTCAATTCTACCCTTGGGTGACTGTTACTGCGGAGTTTGTACATTCTACCTGTTTCTGTATGGGTTCCTTTATTCATTTACAGGATGTGGGCATCGCTGGCTAAGCAGCATTTATTGCCCACAGGGCAGTTCAGAGTCAACCACATTGCTGTAGGTCTGGAGTCACATGTAGGCCAGACCAGGTAACGATGGCAGTTTCCTTCCCTAAAGGACATCAGTGAACCAGAGGGGTTTTTCTGACAATTGACAATGGGTTCATGGTCTCATTAGACTCCTAATTCCAGATATTTGTATTGAATTCAAATTCCACCATCTGCTGAGGTGGGATTTGAACCCAGGTCCCCAGAATGTTTCTTGGGTCTCTGGGTTAACAGTCCAGTGATAATACTGCTAGGCCATCACCTCCCCCTGTTTGTTCCAGGCTTCCTCCCACCATCCGAAGATGTGCAGTTAGATGGATTGGCCATGCTAAATTGTCTGTTTTGTCCACTTGCTAAGTGGATTAGCCACGGGAAATGCAGGGTTACAGGGATAGCTTAGAGGGGTGCGGTTTGGTTCTGGGTGGGGTGCTGTTCAGAGGGTCAGTGTGGACTTGATGGGCCGAATGGCCTGCTTCCATGTTGTAGGGATTCTGATTGCTGCCACTGCAGCTCCAGTTTGAAGTACACGATGTGTACCACGTACAAGATGCACTTCACCAACTCACAGGTGAAGCTCTCTAAAGGGCACCTTCCAAACCCACTAATATCTGAAAAGAAGACGGCTGTAGATACATGAGAACACCACTCCCGCAAGATCCATCCAATACACCTACCGTCCTGACTTGGAAATATTTCACAATTCCTCAGTGTCGTTGGATCAAGTTCCTAAAAATTCCCTCCCTCGTGGCATTACAGGTGACCCTACAGCACCAGGGCTGCATTGGTTCAAGGAGGCACCTCGCTGCTACCCCCTCAGTGGGCAATAAATGCTGAGCCCAGCCAATGACATCCACATCCCATGAATGAATTTGTTTTTGAAAGTTGGAACATTTCCAAGTATCATTTTTTAATAACTGGATTTTTCCCTGACTGAGTTAGGGCAACCACAAAATCAGTAGTATTTCATAAATGATTATACTCTTGTGTGTGAGAGAGTATGTCTCAATGTTTGACTTCCCCAAACCCTATGTCCTTTCCCTCAGTCTCCCCTCTTGCTCCCCAACCCCCAGATAAGTGAAGAACTCTCTGCATCTGTGTTCGCAATGCCACAGATTAGATTCCCCAATCTCATCAGGAGCAAGCTCTGTCTTTGTCTTTGTTTCTCCAGCCAAGAGCATTTTGTCCTTGTCTTGGAAAGTTTCCACGTGACAGTTCATCAAATCCCAACTGTGGGTAACCGTGGAAACAATTAGAAACCAGACAGGAGTGTTTTTTTTAACAAAAAAAACAAAACCAGTCCAATGTTTCGATGGGAAGTTTGGGAGGAGTGAACTTTGATCTAAATGCTGAGTACAGGGTTAGTGATTCTCAAGGCCCTGTGTAGGTCTTGCTTTCCCACGAGGCACGGGGGGAAGTCGTCTCATACTGAGAGGTCATTGGCCTTCTGGGACTCGGTCCTGAGCCAAAATGTGGCTGAGCTTCTGAAGATCTGGGAATAACCCGGTGTTGTTTTCTGATTGCCAAAACCCCAAAATAGTCTTGGAGTCTCCAGAAACTGAAACTTGAAACCTCCAACAGAAGGGTCTGAGCACATCCAGGAGTCAAACCAAAGCTGCCATTTAAAATTAGAATAAATTATTTCTTGGTTAGTTTGGACGCAAGAATTAGGAGCAGGCCATTCGGTCCCTTGAGTCTGCGTTTGTTTTGTTTTATTTAAGGTTATCGTTGATCTGATTTGTGGTTTTTAACTTCTCTTTCCTGTCCAGTTTATTAGCTACTTCCCCATCCTGCCCAACCTCTGCCTCCATTCGGGACAATATTTACCTGATGTGGTAATACTTGTTATCCTCCCTTAACCTAAGAAAATAGGCATGGATAATGTGGTATTGAGAGATCCAACAGATATTTAATACAGCAAGTTATTATACACTTTCGCAGGGAGCAGAAAGTGTCTGGGCCGGTATTAAACATTTTGCTTCCTCAGAGTATGACACTTGCATCAGTATGGCTGCTTCAAACGGCCCAAGTTAAGGTGGAGTCTGAGATTCTCATCGTATAATCCCAATAGCGTGGAAACAAGCCATTCGGCCCATCAGGTCCACACTGAACCACCAAAGAGAATCTCGCCCAGGCCCATTCCGTCTGCCCTATCCCTGTAACTCTGCATTTCTCATGGTTAATCCACCCTAGGCTGCACATCTTTGGATTATGGGAGGAATCTGGAGCACCCGGAGAAAACCCACACAGACACGGAGAGAATGTGCAAACTCCACAGAGACAGTCACCCAATGGTGGAATCGAGCCCAGGTCCCTAACACTATGAGGCAGCTAATACATCTAGTGGAAGTTGGGAACCCTGTGCATCTTCCAACCTTTGCTTGATCTACCTTTATGTCTGGGGGGCGATACAAATTTTAAAATTTGTGTGAAGACTGGGGAGGACAGAGGGGAGAGAAATCAATGAGTGGCGCTCTCATCCAGTAGGTGTAACAAAGTGTGCAAAATTAAGTTAAAGCAGCTCCAACATTTTGATTGGTTTCAACACAACTTCTTTTGCGTTGCTAGAAAGAGGGAGGAGGGCATTTTTTATAAATGAAATGCTGATTTATTTCTCTCTCTCTTACAGCTGTCTAAATACACTCCAGGAGGTAAGCTGCAGATAACGAGATATTTCCTGTTTATGATATTAATTCCAGGGCGAAGGCAGGGGTGAAATGAATTGACTGTGCTCGAGGTTTGATGGACCAAACGACTGCCTTCTTTGCTCTTGTGGTTCTAGAACAGTCTGAGCAGCATTGTGGAACTGCCACATATCCGTTCTCCTCAAATACATTGAGATTTACCCTTCAGGCAATGAATTAAACACTGATAAGTTAACCAAGCCGCGATCTACAATGGAGAAGAGGGAGTGAAATGGGGGGAGAAGCTGGGGAGTGACACTGAAGTGAGCTGGAGATTACATGGCAACAAACTTTTACCCAAAAATCCTCTTAAGCTTCAGGACACCTTGCAAAATGGATTTAACCAAATCAGTTCTGAACTTTTCCTCCATAGGATGTGGCAAGGCCAGTATCTGTTGCCAATCAATTGCCCTTGAACTGAGTCACTTGCTTAGGCCAATTCCGAGGGCAGTTAAGAGCCAACCGATTGCTATGGGTCTGGAGTCACGTGTAGCCCAGATCAGGTAAGGATGGCAGATTACCCTCCCCAGCTGGTTGAGTTTTAACAGTAATTGATGACCATTGTCATGGTCACCATGACTGATGGCTAGTTTCCAATTTGAGATTTTTGGGACTTGAGTTTAAATTCTGAAATGTGGATTTGAACTCATCTCCAAGTGTTAGCCTGCTCCTCTGGAATAGTTAGTCGAGGGAACAATGCTACCCCCTTCAGGTAATGCAGTCTGTGCGATGAATCTGGTATTAAGTTGCCCCTTTGCCCTAGTCACGGTGAAACAATCACCTTCGATTCTCCATCACCAGCTGGTTGTCCTGATTATACGTGTTGCTGTGTAACAATTTCTGCTGTGCTTTTTCCTGTTCAGTGAGGGCTGTGTATCTAGTTTCCTGTCAGCTGTATCAATGTGATCACGGGGGATGTAAATATCGTTTTAAAACAAGTAGTCGCTAAACTATTAAAATTATACAGGCAATCCTGGGGTTATCAACGGGTTCTGTTCCGAGTACGTTCGCAAGTCAACTTGTACATAAACCAGAATATAATACTGGACAGTATAAAATATCTGCTCTTAAGTACAAGGGAATGTTTGCACATTGGATCCTTAATAATATGGGAGAGTGTTTGTAAGGATGAGCATTTTGGGCACCACTTTTATCAGTTAACTGTTCAAATGTTAACAGATGTATTAACAAAACTAAAATACCATGCATTTCTTTTAACGCTGTATTTTAAATTATCCTCACTCTAGGTGAAAAACAGCAATGGATAAATCTACAGGAACAGCTTTAAGAATGTCTTGCATAATATCCTCAAACATTGCTAATGCCTTTCCAAAATAAGCCCCTTTCCTGCACCCTTTGTTTTTCTAATCTGTTTTAAATGTAAACTGCAATAAATTAATGGCAAGACCATCACTGGTTGATTTAACTGCTCACCGTTCTGCGTTCCTGGATTACAAGCAATTATAAATAACTTTGTAAAATGCCCCAGGCACGTTATAGCAGAGTATATCAGACTAAGATTGACGTTGAGGTAAAGAAAACGTTTCAGATTGGTGCGTAAAAACCAAAGCAAAAAGGTAGGTTTTAAGGAGGAGAGAGCTGTTTTGGGGAACTGAAGCCTTTACAGAATCTCAGAATTGTTTCAGTGCATGACGAAGCTACTCGGCCCATCCTGTCTGCACCGGATTTCTGAATGAACATTTCACTTAGTCCCGTTCCCTAGCTTCCTCTCCATAACTTGCCATAGAAAGCAGTCTATCTGGGTGCATCACAGCCTGGTATGGCAGCTGCTCTGCCCAGGACGGTTAGAAACTGCAGTGAGTTGTGAACACAGCCCAGACCATCACAGAAGCCAACCCCCCATCCACTGACTCCATCTACACTTCTCACTGCCTCGGGAAGGCAGCCAACATCATTAAAGACCCCTCCCACCCCAGTTATAATCTCTTCCACTCTTCAAATGGGCAGAAGATATTAAAGCTTAAATGCCTGTTCCAACAGGTTCAAGAACAGTTTCTTTCCCTGCTCTTATCAGGCTTCTGAATGAACTTCTCAAATTTTAAATTTAATATTGATCTTGCTCCTTGTGCACCTTCTCTGCAGCTGTAACATTGTATTCCTCGCTCTGTTCTATTACCCTGATGCACTTTGTATGGTATGATCTGCCTGTACAGCGCGCAAAACAAAACTTTTCACTGTACCTTGGTACATGTGACAACAATAAATCAAATCAAAGCAAACCTGCACATTTCTTTTCCTTTTTGAATTTTTAAATACTCTTTCATTAGATGTAGGTGCAACATTTATTGCCCACCCGAATTGCCCTTGAGAATGTGGTGGTGAGCTATCTTGAACCTCTGCACTCTGATTTAGGGACCCTCTATTAATGCCCTTAGGGAGAGAATTCCAGGATTTTGACCCAGCGACACAGAAGGAACGGCGATATATTTCCAAGTCAGGGTGGTGTGTGGCTCAGAGGGGAACTTGCAGGGTATCTAAGAAGCCTTGGTGAGTTGCTGCAGTGCATCTTGTAGATGTTTCACACCGCTGCTACTGAGCGTCAGTGGTGGAGGGAGTGGATGCTTGTGGATGTGGTGCCAATCAAGCGGGGGCTGCTTTGTAGTGGATGGTATTGAGCTTCTTGAGTGTTGTTGGGGCTGCACTCATCCAGGCAAGTGGGGAGTATTCCATCACACTCCTGACGTGTAGATAGTGGACAGCCTTTGGGTAAACCTTGCAAACAATGATGTATTTAATTTGACTAAATGAGTCTGAATCAGAAACTCTCACTGGGTGATGGGGTCCATCCAGGAATGACTCATCCTGTCATTGGCCGATTTTCCTAATAATCTGACCGAGTTCCAAAGCCAACGGTTGCTATGCTGCTGACGTTTCTCTCATTGCCTTCAGTGATGCCGTTTGAGGAGGTTTGGAATCGCAGCCACTGTCGGGCCATTGAGGTATTGGTGGATGTTGTTCGAGAGTATCCGAGTGAGGCGGAGTATATCTTCAAACCCTCCTGCGTACCTCTCCTACGGTGTGCCGGCTGCTGTGGCGATGAGAAATTAAGGTGCACGGTACGGGAGATGTACAACGTAACGATACAGGTAAGAAACGGCGATTTGCAGCCCAGCAGGCACACGCTTATCGATTGTCCGTGCTGCTCCCAACCAGGTTGAGCAGACGCACGCCAACCAAGAAACAGCAGGGAGTGCTGTTTGGATCTACCTCCCCACTGTAGCTCCTGGGTGTACTCCAATATCCAATGGAAAAGGAACAAGGAAGAGTACAGGAACAGGCCCTTTGGCCCACCAAGACTGTGCCAACACATGGCTCCTTTCTAAACTAAAAACCTTTTGCCTCTGTGCTCTGTATCCCTCTAACCCCCAGCCTATTCGTGTATCTGTCAAACTTTGCTCTCGTTCTTGCCTCTGCCACCACCTCTGGCAGCATATTCCAGGTACTTACCACCCTCAGTGTTTTCTTTTCTAAAAAAAAACTTGCCTCTCAAATTTCCTTTACCCCTTATTACCTTAAACCTACGTCCCCTGGTCATTAACATTTCTTCCTCGGGTGGGGGCAGACTCCAACTATCCAGGCGCCCCCCTGATAATTTTGTAAACCTATATCAGGTCACCCCTCCTCTTTCGACATTGAAGTGAAAAGAAGCGTAGCCCCACACTTCTAGTAGTTAGTGAGACAGAGTCCATGAGAGAAATTTCCTGGAAGATAGGACATTGAAATGGGCCATTCAGCCCAACAAGTTTATACGAGCCTTTATGCCGCATTCAAACATCCTCCTCTCTTTTCTCATTTAAAACCAGCATCGTGACTCTCTTGTGCCTTCTCTCTAGTTGTCTGTCTATCTTTGCCTTAAATGCAATTGTATTATTTACTTCAACCACTCCCTGTGGTGTAATAGGAAGCGGAGGCAGGCTGTTTAGGGCCCATCAACTCTGCTCTACTATTGAATTAAGTATCAGTTGCTGTTTTATGTTGGAATAGTTTCAATAACTCTTGAAAGACTGCCAGCCATAAGACACTCTAACTCTACAAAGAAACAATAGCCAGGAGAATACCAATGTTTCCCAAACTTTATCCCAATAGTGGTCTCATTTTCAAGGCTTGAAAATTTAGTTCCCCTTGGTGAAGAGTGGGAGTGAGGGCTTGTTGGAGTGGGGGTCACAACTGTCAGAACTAAACTCCACCTCAAAATTTTACTTCACCCACTTGGAGTCCAGAGCCTCACTCTGGGAAGCCATGCCCTACATTGACTTGGTGACATCTTATTTTCTCTTGGAATCCTGTGACTCAAATCTCTGTTGATTCCTTCTATAACATCACGGACTTTTGCAGTTAACCCTTGATGGGACTTGGTCTGACACACTCCATTATGCAACAGGAACAAGTTCCATATTCACATCAGTTTTTTTTTAAGGATATGGGTTTCATCTGATGCAGTGGGTTGGTGCAGAGGACAGTATGGGCAAGAGTCCTGGGTTTGATCCACAAGCTATGCTCGTGTTGACTCAGGGAGCACACCGGTTCTTGCATGTGCTCACTTGTCTGATGCAAGACTTCCAAGAACTAAGCCTTCTGATGAAGGAGCAGCTTATGAGTTTAAATAAACCTGCTGGACTATACCCTGGTGTCGTGTAACTTCTGACTTTGTCCACCCTAGTCCAACACTGGCATTTCCACATTATTCCAAGAATTAAGTAGTTAGAATCCTCCTCAGGAGAGAAAATTGGACAAATCAGATGGGTAATCTTTAAGACCCGGGGGTTTGAAGGGAATGGTGTGGGTCTGTATGGTGTGCCAGTCAGTTCACTGCCCATCCATTGCTCTTGGTGGGGAAATGGTGTACTATTGGTAAAGTCTATGGATCAGTTGTCCTAAGGGCCAGGCTCTTGCTGTAGGGTCATGCCTTCGAATTCCAGAAGACGTAGGAGCAGAAGTAGGACATTTGGCCCATCAGATTTACTCTGCCATTCGATAAGATCATGGCTGATCTGGTAATCCACTTCCTCCCCCATAAACAAAAACAGAAATTGCTGGAAAAACTCGGCAGGTCTGGCAGCATCTGTGGAGAGGAATCAGTTAACTGATTCAGGTCCTTTCCCCATAACCCTTGATTCCCGTACAGATTAAAAGTCTGTCTATCTCGTCCTTGAATACACTGAACAGCCCAGCCTTGACAGCCCTCTGTGGTAAAGCACTCCCCATATTGACTATCCCGAGAAGAAATTCCTCCTCGTCCCTGTCGTTCATGATAAGCCCCTTTCTCTGAGATGATACCCTCTGGTCCTAGGCTCTCCCACAAGAGGAAACACCCTCTCCGCATCTACCCTATCAAGCCCCCTAAGGAATCTTTTAGGTTTCGGTAAAGGCTGTCTTTCCTTCATTTTTCTAAGCTCCAGCCTATCCTGATAAAATCCCTCCACACCTGGTGTAAGCCTCCAATGGACTGTCTCCAATGCCTGTATATCTTTTCTTCAATAAAGCGACTGAAACTGTTCATTACATTCTGAGTGACGTCTAACTTTTACACCGTATTATTAACAAGACCTCCCTATTTTTATATTCCATTCCCTTTGAAATAAAAGCCGACATTCCATTTGCCTTCGCCCTATTAACTGCTGAACTTGGATGCTAGCATTTTTGTGATTCACCTACAGATCTCCTTTTTGTTGTAGCTTTCTGCAATTTTTGTCCACTTTAAATAATATTCCATTCCTTTATTCTTCTAGGAGCATTACCATGCATTTTCCTAAAAGATACTCCATCTGCCAAGTGTTTTCCCTCTCACTTGGCTTGTCTGTGTATCTCTGCAGATTCTGTAACAAGCTCACCACTTCCAACCTAATTTCGTATCATCTGCAAAATTGGCTGTTGCACATTTATCTTTCAGATCCAATTAATTCCTGTATGTATTGTAAATAATGGTGGCCCCAGCACTGGTCCCTGTGGGACTCCATTAGCTACAGATTGACATCCTGAAAATATCCATTTTGTCTCAATGGTGTCTTCTAGACTGGTTGGACTGGTCTGTTCCTGTGCTGTATAACTGTACTCGTTAACCAATCCTTGATGCTAATATATCATCACCAAATTCTTACCTTTTATTAAGTAGCCTGATGTGCAATACCTTATCACCAGCTTTCTGGAAATCTAAATATATTACTTCTGCTTCCCCTTCTACTTATCCTACTGTGTCACCACCACACAGAATTCCAACAAGTTTGTCGGACATGAGTTCCCCTTCTGCTGGTGGCTACGTCTCGTATGTGTGATCGTTTCTACGTTTCTAAATCCCAACAAAGCCAGTTGAATTTAAATTCAATTAATAAAATTAATAAATTGATGAAATATAAAGCTAGTCTCACTGCAACAAGAGTCCATTTGAGAAAGAGAATGGGCCTTACCCTGTCTATGCAACGTGTGACTTCAGACCCACAACAATGGGGTTGATTTCTAATGCCCCTCTGAAATGGACAAGCAAGGCACTCGATTCAAGGGCAATTAGGAATGTGTTGGCCTCGCCAGTGATGGCTGCATCCAGAAAAAGTGTGGCACGGTGGCTCAGTGGTTAGAACTGCTGCCTCACAGCACCAGGGACTCTGATTCGATTCCACCCTCGGGCGACTGTGTCTGTGTGGAGTTTGCACGTTCTCCCCGTGTCTGCGTGAGTTTCCTCCCACAGTCTGAAGATGTGCAGGTTAGGGTGGATTGGCCGTGCTAAATTGCTCAGTGTTCAGGGATATGCAGGCTAGGTGGATCAGCCATGGGAAATGCAGGGTTACAGGGATAGGGTAGGGGGGTGGGTCTGGATGAGACACTTTTCAGAGCGGCAGCATGGACTCAGTGGGCCGAATGGCCTGCTTTCACACTATAGAGCTTCTGGATTCTATAAATAGCTTCCTGGAGTATTTACTGAGTGACTTGCTCAGTTAACTGAGCCACTTTATTGTTGTTAATCATTTCAATAATTCACCTGTCATTTTTAAGGTAGTGAATCATTTTGCATCAATCTTTGCCAGGTCATTAAATTGAAACCTTTGGACCATGTGACTAGCCAAGAGGAGAAAATCTTCACTGAGCACAGCAGCTGTGAATGTCGGTGAGTCTTGGGCTGAAATTGACCTAAACCAGATTTCATGTTGCCCCCCACATGGGGTGTGGATGTACCTGAATGGGGGCTGAATGCAATAGTGTGCCTATTCAGTGGGTGTGGATTCTTGCAGGTTACGTAGGTGTATGCAGGATGTATGGCACAGGCCATTCGGCCCAACCAGTCCATGCCAGTTTTTAATGCTTGAAGCGTCTTCCAAGTCTTTCCTTGTCTAAATCTTCCGTTGTAAGCCAGAAAAATATTACAGCTGAGAAAGCGAGGCTGTTCAGCTCATTGTATCTGTGCCTTCTGAATAAAGTAGCTGCCCGTTCTCATCCCACTCTCCAGTGCCTGTTCTGTAGCCCTACAGAGTTACACTGCTTCCGGTGTCTCGTCCTTTTCAAGTGGGATGAGTGTTGCCAAACTGGCAACGAATTCCAGGCACCCACCAGTCTCTGGGGAGAGGGGATAAAGATCTTTCTCGCGTGTAATCCTTCTTCCAATCACCCTAACACTTTTGACCCCTGGTAATTGACTTTTACTGCTATGAGAATTCAGTCTTCCCTGTCCACTCTATCTAAGCCCCTGTATTATTTCATATATTTCAGTTAAGTTGCCTCTCAGCCTCCTCTGTTTTGAAGAAAACAGCCCTTCCAACCTTTCATCACAATTTTCAGTCCTGACAAACATTCTTGTAAATCTCCTCTGTATACTCTTCAGTGTTTACATCCTTCTTGTAATGCACTTACTAGAACTGTGTACACAACTCTATCTATGACCTAACCAGTGTCTCGTACAGATTGAGCATTCCATCCCTATCCTCGTGTTCAATACCTTGCCCAGTGAAGGAAAACATCCCATGTGTTACCTTCATCGAAAAACCAAAAGAATTGCGGATGCTGTGAATCAGAAACAGAAATTGCTGGAAAATCTCAGCAGGTTTGGCAGCATCTGTGGAGAGAAATCAGAAATAACGTTTTGGATCGAGTGACCCTTCCTCAGAATTTTGGGGATGGCTTCTAATTATGCTCCCCTCTTTTTTTCCCCCCCACCCCCCCCCCCCCCCCCCCCCCACAAGAAAAAACATTGTCAACTCCATCAAATTCATTCAGAAATTTATAGGCCTCCATGCTTCTGTGGGAACTGACTCACACTGTAGGAAACTACAGAGAGTCATGAACACGGCCCAGTCCATCACACAAACCAATCTCCCATCTGCTAATTACAATTATACTTCTCACTGCCTCAGGAAGACAGCCAACATCATCAAAGACCCAGTTATAATCTCTTCCAACCTCTTTCGTTGGGCAGAAGATACAGAAGTTAAACACACGCATACCAACAGGTTCAAGAACAGCTGCTTCCCTGCTGTTATTAGACTTCAGAATGGACCTCTCAAATTTCAAATCTATTGTTGACTTTGCTGTTTGTGCATCATCTTTGTAGCCATAACTTTGTAGTCCTTGCTCTATTCTGTCACTCCATGATCTTTGTATGGTATGTTCTGCCTGTAGTGTACGCAAAACAAAACTTTTCACTGTACCTAGGTGCATGTGACAATAATAAATCAAATCAAGAAAATCACTGGGCTATTGATGCTCCCCCTCTCTCATAACAGTGGTCCATCCATCCCTCTCCTAACATCTCTCTGGCAGTGGTCACTGGACAGGTTCTACCTGATCTGCCCAGGAACACAGAGTCCAGTTTGTAATCACCACCCGTGCTATAGCTTTGGGCTAATCCACTATCCATAGAGGCAACAATGGAATCTGGATCATTCTTGGAATTTGTGGCCCACCTCTCCATTCTGTTTGGCTCGGTCTGTCTCTGAGCAGATTCTGGTGGTGAAGGCCTTGAAAGTCTTGTCTGCCTCCTTTCTTAGAAATTGTTCCATTTGTGTGGGATTTTGATTAATTAAAGGGCAGAGAAAGTTGATGTGATTTGATCGAGATGATCCAAATCATGAAGGGTTCTGATATCCGAGTAAATAAGGAGAAATGTTTTTTTCTAATGGCTAGAGGGTCATAAACTGGAGCGCACCAAATCTTAAAATAATTAACAAAAGGAGCAGAGGAGGAATAAGACCATAAAATATAGAATGAAATTGGGTCTTTTGGCCTGTTGAACCTGCTTTGCCATTCAATCATGGCTGATATGCTTTTCAACCCTTTTCTCCTGCCCTCTCCTCATAACCCTTGATCCCCTTACTAATCAAGAGCCTATCCATCTCTGTCTTCAATACACTCAATGACTTGGCCTCCACAACCTTCTGCAGCAATGAGTACCACAGATTCACCACCCTCTAGCTGAAGAAATTCCACCTTCACTCGGTTCTAAAGGGTCATCCCTTCATTGAGGTTGAGCCCTCAAGTCCTAGTCTCTCCTACTAGTGGAAACATTTCTCCATGTCCACTCTATTCAGGTCTCTCAGTATTCTGTAACTTTCAAATGCCCCTCAATCCTTCCAAACTCCATGGAGTACAGGCCCAGAGTCTTCGACTGCTCCTTGTATAACAAGCTCTTCATCCTTGGGATCATTTTTGTGAACCTCCTCTGGACCCTCTCCAAGGCCAACACATCCTTCCTTGGGTATGGAGCCCAGAACTGCTCTCAATATTCCAAATGTGGTCTGACCAGAGCCTTAAACGGTCTCTACATCTCTGCTCTCGTATTCTAGCCCTCGTGAAATGAATGCTAACATTGCATTGCCTTCCTAACTGCCAACTGAACCTGCCTCTTAACCTTAAGAGAAGCCTGAACTAGGACTCCTAATTCCCTTTTGTGCTTCAGATTTCTGAAGACTTTCCCCATTTAGGAAATAGTCTACGTCTCTATTCTTCCTACCAAAGTGCATAACCTCACAAGTTCCCACATTGCACTCCATCTGCCACTTCTTTGCCCACTCTCTCCTAGTCTGACCAAGTCCTTCTGCAGTCCCTCCTGCTTCCTCAACACCGGAAATTTCTTGCACAGTGAGTTATGATCACTGCCTTGGAGAGTGTTGGAAGCAGATTCAGAAGTGACTTTTCAAAGGAAGTTGGACAAATTCTATAATTTGGGGAGACAGTCGGTAATAGTAATGTCACTGGACTGGTCATCTGGAGCTCCATGGGTTCAAAATCATCACTGTGAATTTGCCAAAGATCCTCTAACAGCACCTTCTAAACTCTCAGCCACTTCCCTCTAGAAGGACAAGGGCAGTCAATGCATGGGAACTCCACCACCTGCAAGTTCCTCCCTAAGCCCACTCCCCATCCTGGCTTGGAAATATGCCGCTGTTCCTCCAGTGTCGCTGGGTCAAAATCCTGGAATTCCCTCCCTAATGGCCTACAGCAAACGGACTGCAGTGGTTCAAGAAGGCAGCTTGCCACCTCCTTCTCAAGGACAACTAGGGACAGACAATAACTGCTGGACCAAACAGAACACTCACAACTCACAAGTGGATAAATAAAACTTATGTACAATTAATAAAGTCACATCTAGAATTGACAATGACAAAGACGACCTCAGTACATGGTCACCGTGAAACTGAAATTGTTATAAAATTCCATCTGTTTGACTAATGCCTTGGGGAAGGATATCTGTCATATTACGTAGTCTGGCCTACACAAGACTCCAGGCTCTCTGCAAAATGGTTGACTCTTAACTGCATTCTGGAATGGCCTAGCAAGCCCCTCAGTTGAAGGGTAATTTGGATGAGCAACAAATGCTGACCTTGCCAGCGATGCTCATGTCCCATGAAGCAATAAAATCTAATTTGCAGGGTTTTGGGGGGAAGAGTAGGGTGTGGGAGTAATCGGGCATTTTTTTTTTTCGGAAAATCCTCCTCCCCTCCCCCCCCCACCCCCTTAGCTATGATGGACCAAATGGCCTCTTTCTGCACCGTCGAAATAATATCAGTCTGAATTTTTTGTTTCTCTCTTTCTTTCTCTTTAGACGACGACGGAAGAGATTGAAAGGTAACAGGTATGGGAAGGATTCCTGTTTCCAGAAAAACTAGCTCTGGGACTCCAGAGTGAAACATCTACTGTTTTATAACGTGAATGTTTGTGACCTTTTGCTCAAGAGATGAGTCTTTTTTGCCTTTTTTCAGGAGAAACAATAAAAGGAAAGGTCAGAGGCGACGGACAAAGATAGAAGACGTGCCCGAGCTTAACCAGTGAGTGTATAATCATTGTTTATGTACTGAAGGTGAAGGGTAAAAACTTGCTCTGTTACCACGCCTGTGAGCGACACATAATTTGAATTGAGATGCTGTCTCCAGATACACTCAGCAAATGGGTGATTATATCTGTATAGTCTTTAAACAGCTCTTATCTAAATTGCCTATGACCATTTTTATTTGCTGTTTGAATGTCAGAAGCTGTGCTTCATTGAGCACAGTTCCTGCACTTTGGAACTGCCAATTCCCAGGCCAACAGCTTAATGTGATTTCAGGTAATGTTCTCATTACTCGTTGCTTTTGTTACTATGGGAACCAGATTATCATTTGCACAAGGGTATCCATGGACATGGCGGAGCATTGAGCAGCCATTACCTATTCTTGAAGAGGCTGAATGGCCTCCTGTTCTTTTCCTCCCTAAAGGTGGTTTCTTTGTAGTCTTTCATGGGATCATTGGTGTCACTGTGGTTAAGAAGGCATTTAGCATGCTTACCTACATTGCTTTGACCTTTGTGTATAGGAATTGGGACATTGGTAAGACCTGTTCGGAGTACTGTGTGCAATTCTGGTCACCTTGCTATAGGAAGGATATTATTAAACAGGAGAGGGTTCAGAAAATTTTTACCAGGATGTAAATGGAGGGATTTGAGATATAAAAATAGTCTGGGAGTTTTTTTTTACAGGAGCGTAAGAGGTTGTGGGGTGACCTTTATAGAGGTTTACAAAATTGAGCGTGGCTTGGATAAGGTGAATAGCAAAGATCTTTTCCCCAGGGTGGAAAAACTAGAGGGCATATTTTTATGGTGAGAGGAGAAAGATTTTAAAAAAGGCAATTTCATTTGAGTCGTTCGTGTGTGGAATGAATTCAGAGAAAGTGGTGAACGTAGGTTTAGTTACAACATTTGAAAGACATTTGGATAAGTTCCTGAATAGGAAAGGTTTGGAGGGATATGGGCCAAATGCAGGCAGGTGGGACTAGTTTAGTTTGAGAACGTGGTTGGCATGGACTGGTTGGACTGAAGGGTCTGTTCCATGCTGTATGACTCTGACTCTATAACTGAGTGTTTAGCTAGGCCATTTGAGTGCAGTCAAGAGTCAACCATATTGCTGTGGGTCTGGATCATGTGTAGGGCAGATGAGGTAACAACAGTAGATCCCCTTCCCTAAAGGGGCATTAGTGAAGCGGATGGATCTGTATAAAATGAATGATTGCTGTTACGGTTACTATCGCTGACTAGCTTTATTTTTAAAAATTCTTTAATGGGATATGGGTGTCATTGGCTTATCCAGCATTTATTTCCCACCCCTCGTTACCTATAGGGGGAGATGACGGCCTAGTGGTATTATCACTGGGCTGTTGATCCAGAGACCTAGATAATGTTCTGGGGACCCAGGTTCGAATCCTGCCATGGTGGAATTTGAATTCAAATTCAATAAACATCTGGAATTAAGGGTCTGATGATGACTATGAATCCTTTGTCGATTGTCAGGAAAAACCTATCTGTTTCAATAATGTCCTTTAGGGAAGGAGACTGCCATCCTTACCTGGTCTGGCCTACATGTGGCTCCAGACCCACAGCAATGTGGTTGACTCTTAACTGCCCTCTGGGCAATTAGAGATGGGCAATAAATGCTGCCTGGTCAGCGATGCCCTCATCCCGTGAATGAATTTTTAAAAAAAATAGGCTTTTGCACAGTCATCCACATTGCTGTGGATCTGGAGTCAAATGTAGACCAGACCAGATAAGGACAGCAGATTTCCATTAGTGAACCAGATGGGTTTTCTTTTTATGACAATTGCTAACAGTTACATGGCTACCATTTTATTCTAGATTTTTCTTTTTATGAGTTTGGATTTCACCATCTGCCATGAGGGGATTCAAATCTGTCTTTCCTCAAATTAGCCTGAGGTTCTGGATTACTAGGCCAAGGCATTACCACCATGCCATCATCTCCGTAGCTGTCGCTGTAACCAAAACCTGGTAAGTGGGTGGAAGCAGTGTGGACTGAACCCTGATTTCCCTCTTCTGTTCTCTCTCTGTCAGATGCCCCTCATCGAGGCGGAGGCACCTCCAAGCAGCCTGAGGCCTGGCTTGCGAGATCACTGAACCGTGGAGAGACATTTTGAATGCGGAGCTGCGGCAATGACGGGCAACGTTGGCAGCTTCTTGACGTTGTTGTGGCTGCCTTTCCTAGTGCAGCTGTCTGAGTGAACTGGAATTTGCTCATTTTTGAAGGGGGAGGAGGCCGAGAGGGAGAAGCATAGTGCAGGGGGGTTGCTGCCTTTCAGCCCACAGACTCTGCACTGGCTCTCCGAGTGAGCATCTTGCCTAGCACCATTCTCCTACCTTCGTCCTGTAACCTTGCACGTTCTTCCTACTCTCAAATCATTATAAATGCCCTTTTGAAATTTGAAACCAAGCCTGCCCTTTTTAAGGCAGTGCATTCCACATCGCTGCATGAAAATAGACTTTTGTCTTTTTGCTTCATTTACCAAAACTTGGCTTTTAAATCTTTAAACTCTCGTTTCACAAGTGGGAGCAGTTTCTCCCGATCTCCTGCATCCAGACCCATTTTGATTTGGAAAGTATCTCTATCAGAGCTCCTGACCACCACGTTTTCGCTAGGGAACACAGCTCCCTACTGTTAACTGGAAACAGTAAAAGAATAACTCTTCTTTTAATTGTGATTTTGAACAGAATATTCACTCAGCATGATCTATTTTAAAACTCTAATCCAGAAACCTTATGAGCTGCACGAGTTGAGGAATTGCGTGTGTCTGTATTTTTAAACTGATCTGGAATTCCCCTCATTTTTTTTTTATATATATCTAAGGAAGAAACTTGCAATTATTTAGCACCTTTTGCAGCTTCAGGTCATTTCCTCAGTCGCTTTGGAGGCAAGGGATTGAAGCCTAATCACCGACCCGCAGGAAATGCCGATGAGCACACAGCAAGATCCCACAGAGGCGTGTGATAAATGGATAATTACAAAAGGCACCTCTTAAAACAACCTGGGAAGTAGCCCCACGACTTGTGTTCTATCTGATCTTTTCAGGTGACCCTAGTCACTAATTTGTGCTGGGGTGTAGCTGTAGGTGTGCTGACCTGTAGGGGGGTGGGGGGTGTGTGTGTGTGTGTGTTTATATAGCATATACTGTGACATCATGGTAGTATCCCTACCTCTGAGCCAAGAAGCACATGTTCAGGTCCCACGTGCTCCTGAGATGTGTCATAACATTTCTGAACAGGTTGATTTGAAATATTTGTAGTGTGACACCTGTTGCAATCTGTCACAGAATTATTCCAGTGTGGGAAAGAGGCCTTTCGGTCACTCTTGTCTATACTACCTCTGAGCAGTTTACTTGCAGCCATTCTCCCACCTTCTTCCCACAATCCTGCAATTCTTTGTTTTCTGATGACAACAGTCCAACTGAACCTACTTCCACCACAGCATCAGGCAGTGCATTCCAGACCCTGACCACTCACTGAGTGAAAAATCTTTTCCTTGTTGCTTTTTTGCTTATTTTACTGATTTACTTTAAATCTGTGCCCTCTTGTTCACCATAGTTTCAAGAGTGAGAACAGTTTCCACTGATGAGGGAATCTTGAATTATGGGGATATAGTTACAGAATAACAGGATAACAACTGGGATGCAAAGGAATTTCTTCTCCTGGAGAGTGGCGAATGTCTGGAATTCTCTACCCCAGAGAGTTGTGGAGGCTGGATCATTTAGAGGAAGTACATTTCTGAAATATCAAGGGGTTGAAGGCTCAGCAGTTGACACAAAAGAGGAGTTGAGGCCTGGGGTAGATCAGCCGTGATCTTGTAGGATAGCAGGGTAGGCTTGAGGGCTGAATGGCCTATGCCAGCTTCTGTATATGTTATGATTTTGAAAACCTCTACTAAATCTCTGTCTTCTCTACTCCAGGGAAAACACTCCTAACTTTTCTCCAATCTATCCTCCATAACCAAGGTTCCTCATTCATGGAACCATTGTTGGAAAAGCTCTTCCACACCCTACCCAATCCCTCCACATCATTCCTACAGTGTGGACATCATACTGCAGCTGAGGCCAAATTAGTGCCTTTGATATTTTCCAAACAACCTGCTCAGATGTTATGACACACCTCTGGAGCAGTTGGGACTTGAACCTGGACCTCCTGGCCCAGAGGTAGGGACACTACCACTGCACAATAACAGCCCTCAAATGTGTGTCTCCTACTGGGTCCTCTAGCCCTTTTCTTGAGAAATTGCAGTGACTGTAAGAGAACTGCTAGCTTTCCAAACAAAGCTTTTGCATCCTCCCTTGTAGTTGACTTCGAGTATGATTACCATTGGCATTTCTTGCAAGCGACCCCCTAAAATTCTGCACACATTTGTTGTGCAGCGGAATTTAATTGATATTTTGGACTTATCGTTCTATCTCAAAAACCCCAAGGCGAAGGTTGAGCTACTCTGACATATGCAATAAAAATGCTTTTTCTAAATAAAAACTTCTGTATTGCTAATTCTAATTTGGGGGAGAAAGATTATATACTTGTTAGTCATCTTCAATTCTTCTCTTAAAGTTAAGTCTGAGCTACAAAGTTATAAGTTCCACGAAGGGCAGGTTCCAAATGCACGTCAGCCAGAAGGGGAATTAACTCCATGTTGTTGGCAGCTGTCTGCTTCACACCAGCCATCAGCCAACCTCCTTCCTCCAATCACCATCACCACCAAAAGGAGCCTGTGATGTGGGAATGTATACGTACACGTGATGGCATGAAATGGGACGAATGGCCACCTCCTGCTCCATTATAATCCTGCACTATTGTGGTCCAGAGTTATGAATGGTGATGGTAGACAGCTCCAACCTCTCCTCATCCCATGGCTGACCAGGAATTTCTAGAAGCTCTCACGCTCTTGCCATCTGTCATTGGTATTGGAAGGATTTACAAGTTGGTGTTCCAGCTGTTTGTTTTTATGAGCACGTGCTCCTTGCTCCCAGAGTTGGACTTTAACCTGGAGCTTCTGGTTCAGAACCAGAGCAAGACAGCCCGTTACACCAGAGGTCTACCTTCGTTTTGACATTTGCCAAGCCAATTTGTGTTGTAAGCTGTGGTGACGGTGCAGCAACCGGGGGGCTGTAAGCCGGTAATCAAGTTCAAATACAATTCCAGATGGATGACAGACGGGTTTCTGTAAGTTTCACATCCTTAAAATGGGAGAACCTACTTCTATGTGCTATGTTGGTGCAGCTTTTGAGCTCTGGCTGAGGTATGCTGTTGGGTCTGAGCAGAGGAATTGTTTCTCTTTTTTTTCGTACAAAGTGTGAAGGACTCAAAAATCCACCATTCGGTACAATCGTGGCTGATCGGATAGTGGATCTTTGATCCACTTTCCTGCCTCCACCCAATGACTCTTCATTCCCTTGTCTATTGAAAATCTATTTCAGCGTTGATTAAATTCAATGACTGACTCCATGATCCAGTCTCCACTATGTGCTGGGGGCAGAGATTTCCACAACCAAATGACCCTTTTGAGAGAGAAACAAATCTCCTTGTTCATGTCTTGAAGGGGAGATCTTTTATGTTATTTCTCACAGTTTTCATCCTCCCCCACCCGCCACCCAAAAGCACGGTGGCTCAGTGGCTAGCACTGCTGCCTCACAACACCAGGGACTGAGGTTTGATTCTACCCTCGGGGACCGTCTGTGTGGAGTTTGCACGTTCTCCCCGTGTCTGTGTGGGTTTCCTCTGGGTGCTCTGGTTTCCTCCCACAGTCCAAAAATGTGCAGGTTAGGTGGATTGGCCATGTTAAGTTGCCCCAAAGTGTTCAGGGATGTGTAGCTTAGGTGCGTTAGCCATGGGAAACACAGGGATAGGGTAGGGGGATGGGTCTGGGAGGGATGCTCTTCAGAAAGTCTGTGTGCAACTGTTGGACCAAATGGCTTGTTTCCACACTGTGGGGATTCGATTCTTAAGAGAAAATGTCGCCTCAAGATCTTATATGTTTCAATGAGATCACCTCTCATTCTTAACTCCAATAGATTCATGCCCAACCTGTCCAAACTTCCTTCCCTGAATTCAGGAAGAGATGTGAAGGGAACTGGCCAAAGGGGAGTTCAGTATAGAGGTACAACTGACAGAGATGGGGTTGGGAAGATAATGCATGTATTAATGGATGAGGACTGAGGCAAGGAATCTTGCAGCAAATAACTCCTCTGATCCCCAAAGACTGTCCACCATCTACAAGGCACAAGTCAGGAGTGTGATGGAATACTCCCCAATTGCCTGGATGAGTGTAGCTCCAACAACATGAGAAGCTTGGCACCATCCAGGACAAAGCAGCCCATTTTATTGGCATCACATCCTTCCCTCCATCACTGACACTCAATAGCAGCGGCATGTACCACTTACAAGATGCACTGGAGAAATTTGCCAAAAACCTTAGCACCATCCTAACCAACAATCGCTTCCATCTGGAAGGACAAGGGCAGCAGATACATGGGAACACCACCACAAGGAAAATAAACAGGAACAAAAACAAAGTTGCTGGAAAAGCTCAGCAGGTCTGGCAACATTTGTGGAGGAGAAAACAGTTAACGTTTTGGGTCCAGTGACCCTTCCTCAGAACTGAAGGAAAATCCCTGCCAAGCCGCAACCACCCTGACTTGGAAATATATTTCTGTTTCTTCACTGCCTCTGGCTCAAAATCCTGGAATTCCCTCCTTAAGGGCATTGTGGGTCTACCTATAGCACAGTTCATGATGTCAGCTCACCCCTGACTTCTCCAGGGCATCTAAGGATGGGCAACAAATACTGGCTCACTCTGAGATTTCCCGCATTCCACAAGTGAATTAGAAAGATTGACTACATGCAAAGTATGGGGAAAAAGGTTGGGGGAGGTTCTCCCAGAGAGTCAACCCAGACATGATGGGCCAAGTGGCCTCCTTTTGTGCTGTAGCTGTTCTAGGATGAATAAAAATCAGTGAGCCGCATAGCAAATAATTCCAAGTGAATGAGCAATGGACAGGAATATAATGTGCAGGAATATAAAGGTTAGAACAGTCAATGGGATTCTAACTATCTGACAAGACCTCTATAAATACATGTGGCTTCAAACAATCAGGGCTTTTGAAATGCACCATTCGGCAGGTGATAGTGCAAATATGCTGAACAGTTTTTTTTTTGGGATTACAAAGGAAACTTGCATAAACGCTGAGACTCCTGGAGGCCAGGGTTGGCTTTCCAAACTTATTAGCCACTTGAATATTCTGTGAAAGGAGAAGACATATTTGAGACTACTGGGGTCACGGATGTGGAGTTCGTGGAAAATGTTTTGAGGGACCGTGCTTAAGGGATCATTGTCACTGACGGTCCCTCACGGATGAGGATGACTCTCTTCCACTCTCAGGGTGAGTCCGTAGGTGGCTGTACAGACCAATGGGGCTACCGCAGGCTCTTTCACACTTGGGGTCAGAAGGTAGTCATGGCATGGGGTGTGTAGGGTGTTGTTGTGGCAGCTTGGTCCTTTTGCTGTTTTCCACCTGGCTTCCATTTTCTCCAATAACAAGTCTCGAGGTGCTTGACGTCTTCCTGGATACTCCTCCTTCACTTTGGACAGTCTTGGGGCAGTGATTCCCAGGTGTCTGTGGGAATGCTGCATTTTGCCAGTGAGGATAAGGGGCTGTGCACACAACCGAATTTGGAGATGCACGGGGATCTCATATGGAAGTTGAGGCCTCAGCAATTTACAACATCTATAATGTGTATTAAAGCTGGCGTTGGGAGGGGGATAAAATATTTTGAGTTGATGCAACTAAATAGGATGGTGAGTATGCGAGTGAAGGTGTATGTATAGGCTACTGTTGAGGGATAGTGACCTGCACTCCAATCCCACTTGCTTCAGAGGTGTGTGTGAACAGTTGATGACAAATGTTTAAAATATGAAGGAGTATATACGTTCCCTGGCTTTACAGCAGGACCAGTAATCTGCTCAGCTGCTGAAACCTCACCAGCAGATACCTAACCTTTAGCCTTCTGTGTTCAAAGCTTTGGAATTCCTGCCTTTCGCCAGAAAAGCGGTTCTGCTAAGCAAGAACGAACAGCAAGGGATTAAACTAATAAGTGTTACCACACAGGCAATAATTTTTGGATTACTGCCTGACCAACAAGCAAATTGGCATCCAATAATTAAAATCTGAGAGCACGGCGCAAGCATTGATGTGTAAGAAGTGTGTTTTGATGTATATCGCATTAGCACCATTGGAAAGAGCAAGGGTGGCCTTTAGCTTGGGTGTCATGGCTCCCAACACTATAGTCACCTCTGTTGGAATGAGGAAGAGATGGAAATGTGAAATAAGATAGACATAGAAGCAGAAATAGGCCATTCAGCCCATCGAGCCTGCTCTGCCATTCAATGAGAGTGTGAGGTACACTTACGGAGATAAAACTTTAGACTTTTAAGATCTAGACGTTTTCCTACCTTTTGGCTATTTTTTGTGACCAAGATGGGGCCAGAGAAAACTCTGTACACTTTTCACTGTACTCCTATACTCGAGTACGTGACAATTAAATCTAATTCTAAACTCCACTTTCTTGCCTTTTCCCCATAGCTCTTGATTCCTTTACCATTTACAAATCTATCAATCTCATTCTCCTCTGAAAAGGGGGAAGTGATGGCCTAGTGGTATTATTGCTGTACTGTTAATCCAGAGACCCAGATAATGTTCTGGGGACCCAGGTTTGAATCTTTCCACAGCAGGTGGTGAAATTTGAATTCAATAAACATCTGGAATTAAGAATCTAATGATGGCTGTGAATCCATTGCTGAAAAACATATCTGGTTCACTAAATAAAAACCAAAAGAACTGCGGATGCTGTAAATTAGGGACAAAAACTAAGTTGCCGGAAAAGCTCACCAGGTCTGGCAGCATCTGTGAAGGAGAAAACAGAGCTAACGTTTCGGGTCGGGTGACCCTTCCCCAGTTCTGAGGAAGGGTCACCGGACCCAAAACATTAACTCTGTTTTCTCCATCACAGATGCTGCCAGACCTGCTGAGCTTTTCCAGCAATTTTGTTTTTGTTTCTGGTTCACTAATGTCCTTTAAGGAAGGAACTGCCATCCTTACCTGGTCTGACCCACATGTGCCTCCAGACCTACAGCAATGTGGTTGATTCTTAACTGCAATTATGGATGGGCAATAAATGCTGCCTAGCCAGCGATGCCCTCATCCTGTGAATGAATAAAGGAAAAAAAGTCTTGAATAAATTTTCTAATCAACCTAGTCACAGTTAATGTTACACACTAGGACTTAAACCTTCTGGTTCACATGTCCAGTACTCAAGAGCCTTAATCTTAATAAATGGCCAGAAATCACACCACACCAGGTTATAGTCCAAAGAAAACACAAGCTTTTGGAGTCTTACTCCTTCTTTCCAAATGGACCTGTTGGACTACAACCTGGTGTGGTGTGATTTCTGGCCTTGACCATCCCTGTCCAACACTGGCACCTCCATATCATTAATAAATG